AGTCTACCCTCCTTCGTGGATTTGGGAACACCTATACCTTTGGGTATAGACCCCTGTCCACCCAGCGCTGCGCTGTTTGTTTTATTGTGGTTTTTCCTCATTGTTTATTTTTTTATAGAAATTGTTTTATAATAAATTGTTTTTTATTTAACCCAAATCTGCCTTTGCATTTATAACACTGTCTAGGTGAATATCTTTCCCCTGAGCATGCATAGGAGTCAAGTGAGATTATGTAATTGTTTGGTAATTATTAACAATTATACTTGGGTGTTTACTAACAACACATTTTTGTGTGTAAGTAATGGCATGGAAAGCCCAGTGGGCTGTGCTTGATTTGTAAAATAAAACCAAGCACCCAGGCTTGTGCCACTCCAAAATAAGGAAATAATGTCTCTCCCAAGTGTGTAATAATTGGCTTGTTGCACACCACATAGGTGAGTCTGAATTTTGTGGACAGAAACCTCACAGCAGGTCCTGATGAGAGTGTGGCATGGCTGGTTTTCTTAAATTATTGGTTTTTTAATGTTCTTTTGGTGCTGAAGGATAAGAAATACACCATGGGAACAGAAGCTTGCACCAGGTTCAGGAAGGAGAAGGGGGAAAAAGCGGAGACCAACTTCAGGTGAGAACCCTGGGTTTAGTTTCGAGATACATGGCAGGAAAGTGGAGGAGTTGAGTGGGCATGTGTGCACTTGGAAGGGCAGACTTGTTTGTTAAAAACTATTTGGGAGCTAGTGTTAAACAAAACTGAGCTGTCTGCTGTTCAGACTTTCTTTTTGTGGTTTTGGGTTGCTTTTTGTGGTTGTTGGGGTTTTTTCCTTCCATCTATCTCATTGACATAACTGACACTTCTTCACTGAAAGTGCATAGGGAGCCACAGTTCAGATGAAGTAAAAGCTGGAAATAATACAATCTGCATCATTTTGATAAGTGGCACAGAGTTGCTTCCTGCCTTAAGCTTTCTATTGATCTCTCTCAAAAATCAAATTATCTTCACTGGCCATAGTAAAAATAAACAAATAAATAAATAAAGAGAAGCTAGCAGGCCAATAATCACAGCAGGTCAATAACCACAATTTGCTTTAAAACAAAGTTTAATCAGTTTGCGGGAATCTGGTTGCCTGGAACAGAGAACCTACATTTAGCATGAGACAGGGTTACTGAAGTGGCAGTATTGGCAAAGGCCCTGACTAAGTTTTGGCCAGGCCATGTGATGTCCCCCACATTCCTCACTGGTCCCATGTTTTTTGGGGAATCTCCTTCAGCATCATTCTCATGCAGCCATCTTCAGTGGAGTTATCCAGACAGTCTCCATGAAAATAAATAGTGCAGCACTGACTTGGAAGATTCTTTGCAATTCTCCATCCCAGAATCCTCTTGAATTTATTGTAACCTTGGACATGAGGATAAAAACAGCAATGAAACATATCCATGCATTTCCAAATCACTGGAAAAATCTGCCTTTTTTCCTCAATCTAGTCACTTTTTTCATCTTTGGGTAAGTCTGCTCAGCTCCAAAGAAGTCTCTGTAGCTGTTGTTCAGGCTTAAATCTTTGACTTAGCTGATTATGTTTGTCAATGCTGGAACTGCTGTCAGGTAAGGTCAGACCAGGTTGCTCTTGCATCTCCCTGGTAGCTGGTTCCTGTGAGGGTTAAAACATGCTGGCTCATTCTGGGGGCAGTTCTGTGTTGCTCAGATCTTGTGAAGCAGTTTGGTTTGTGTTCCACTTCAGAAATTTGCTGTTTAGCATACAGGAAGAGTCAATCACATTGTTAAAAATGTAGAAAATCATGATGTAACCTCAGTGAGAACAGGTAAGCATTTTTAAAGTCACTGTTACTGCTGTGGAAAATAATTTATATTCCAGTGTAGTTCCAGATACATTCAGAGTCTCTGAGGAAAGACTGCAAGAAATGACTTGTATCTTGTAAATATAAACATCTGCACAGAGCCTAGTTCTTTCAGGCAGAAAGGCAAGTGTTTACTGTTACATTACTGTAAGGGTTGTTGCTAGGAGTGCATCTGTGCACTTGTATTTTATTTTTCTTCATATTCTTTTCTCTCGTGTGCAGCTTTGGGACCCACCCTTCAGCAGCCCTTCCTTTTAAAGAAATTCAGATAATGTGTGCATCAACTGTTTGAAAAACACAAGGCTCCAGTGATAGCTCTCCAAGGGCTAGAGGTGTGGTTGAAAAATAAAATTCATAAGCAGTAGAGAGAGAGAATATTTTCCTGTGTGGGATGGGGGTCAGATTATAAAAACAGGGAACAGATCATATTCAGAGCATCATACCATCAGTATTCTTCCCCAGGGCCCTGAGGAGAGCCCAGTGCCTCTGAAGGAACTCATGTTTTAAATCTTAATTTATCTGCTGTTTAACTTAGCAGGAAAAGGACTTTTCTGGACCATTTGCACTGATTTGAAAATAGCATTTGTACCACTGGAGCCCTTCCAGCAGATAACAAGTGTTGTGCCAGTATTTATATATTACTTGGTTTTTGTTTGGTTTTTTTTTTTTTCTTTTAAGCACTTAATTTAGTTAATTGATACGTGAACACTTTAAGTCCTCTGTACCTGGCTTTGGAAATGCAGCTCCAGAATTTACAAAATCAGTGTAAATGGTCCAGAGAACTCCTCTGCCAGCCAGTGCTTTTCCACCAATGCATGGAGTTTGCCAGTATCTCAAAATAGGGTCTATGTACCCTGGGACTATACAGACAGAAAAACTATCTGGAACTTTTCTGCCAGTAATGTATTTTCATTCATTCAGGATTCAAGGCCATAAGCTTTTCTTGCAGTTTTGTTATTTTTTTTTTGTCAGAAAGAATGAGCAAAGTTATTCTAAAAAGCACAGCAATGGCTACATCTGCTGTTCCCCACTTACCTGCTGGTCTGGGGCTACAGCACTCCCCCACAAAGGGAAATATTTGATGTTTATGTTGGAGGAATCAGGCCAGATCCATCAGCCCAGGAGAGGCGAGGCTGATGCAACTCCACACTCCCAGCTCCAGCTGAAGGGAGGTCAAGTATGTATTCCCAGCCTAACCCAGCTCCTCCTGTGGTTTTCCCATTAGAGACAAGCCATCCCTTCCCTGGCTCTCAGGGCACACCACCTTCCCACAAAGAAGTCCAGCTGGACTTTGTAACACTGTCACACTCGCTCCCTCCTGGCACTGCTGATATGAGGGCTTCTGGCTGCAGGTCTGCTCTAGGGGACAGTAATGCTGGTCACTGTCTCGGGGCTCTCCAGCTGCTGGCATGGAGCCACACCAGTGCCTGCAGTCCAGGCCCAGCTCCTGGCCCCAGCGACACGTGGGGGCCCTTTCTACCTGCAGTCCCACTCCAGGTGCTGGCATTTAAATCGGCTTACTCCTCCCCTGTCCAGTCACTGTCACCCAGGCACATGGACTCTCCCACCCATGGCATGACTAGAGGCTGGCACCAGACCCCCATACACATGAGTATGCCCAAAACAGAGAATTGTTTGAAAAAGGGTTATAAAGGAATTTAATAGGAAGAAAGGAATGCAGTATGCATGATGGATAAGCATCACACAGCAAACTCTTAATATGAAACTGGCTCTTTCTATCCCCTTATCTATCTTACTTGTTCCTTCCCAAATCACCTAGATCTCTCCCTTTCTTTGCCTTTGATTCTTTCCCTAAGCATGGGATGCAACCCTGAAAAGCTCTTCCCTTGCATCCCTTAATGAGTCCCAAATCTGTAGGATGCAATCCCCCTCAGTCCTAAAGTTGCTGTGGGGTGTTGGCTTATCTTGATAGGCTCCAGTCTGCACCCTAGGGCCAAGGCTTTCCTGGGACAGCCCTGGGAAGAGCCTGGAATGGTTTTCCTTTGTTCTGAGCTCCTATCTTAGGGTTCTCATCTGCCATTGTGTCCCTGTGTTTGTTTGGACTTGTGAAAATGGGCCATTGATGAGCTGCTCTGATGGGTGTGGGAGGAGCCAGGGCAGGGTGTTAGTTGGGTACCAACCACTGAAGTGCCATTGTCACTCTGCACTCCTTTATGTGCTTTGAAGACAAGCTTTCCTCGCAAAATCTCACGGCTGGTTTATTTCTCAGCCCGGTTATAGGGATTTTAAAACCTACACATTCTCTGGAGA